AGACAATTTGAGAGTCAGATGAACCCATGTACTTCTTTATTAGTTATGAATAAATTTTATGAATAAAAGCATTCTTTATCTTGTTTCATATTGCATGTCTCAGATATTGAATATGAGTAACTGGATAAAGCCCTTGGAATGGAACGTGTGTCACATTGAGGATCTGTGATAGGGATCACGATCATGAGGGCTCAATGACACCACACGTCCATTGCCAGAAATATGTTCCTAGTCTAGAGATACCGATAATGGGAATTGGTTATCTCGGGTAAGACTAGCACGACTCAGCTAGTTGCATGGAGATGCAAGGTAGAGTCCTCGTGAGCTGCAGACATAGAGATGTCTTAGCTAACTCGTGGGTGGACTTATTGGAGAATAGCTCGCACTGAACTGACCCACAAAGAGACAATACAAGAAAATCTCACAGATAGTATCAATAGGTAATGTCTCTTATTATTTGGGTGTGTCTTTCTTTAGACCTGACGTTGTCGTATAGACCTGTGCTCTGGAAGGCTTGTTTTGATTGTATATCTTGTCTGCTTGAAACATGGAGACTTGTAGGTATACTCTTGGGCATGCCCTAAGGAATCAGGGCTAGTGTGACAAGCTAAAGGAATTTGTCAATCTCTGTGAGAGATTAGGTTATCCGTAGACCGGTGAAACTGGGATGACATTTACGAGACTCGGGAATCTATGCATAGAAAAGGAGTCATGAGATGGCCCTCTCTTTAGAGTCCGTAAATGAAGATTCCTTGTTTTGGCAAAAGCTAACCCTAGACCGCAGGGGTTGATACGTTTTCCTTGACCTAGGTCAATGGGATGGATAACCGAGACGAAATGACAATTCACACGGTAACCAAATAGGTATAACAGGTTGATCATTCGATGAACTCAACTAGCTATGACACAACAAAGAATTGCTAGTGCTCTGTGTTGTCATTAGATGGATTGGGCCTAATGGGCCCAAGCACATTTATAACAGTGGCTATGTTGGGCCCGATGGGTCGCACACAAACACCTTAAGTTGTCTTGAATTCTAGCATATGTGTTTTGGGCCGAATAAGGCATAATGGGCCTAAGTTGGAAAAGCTCACATATTGGGCCAAGAGAGAGTAGGTGGCATCATGAGCCAAGTTTGACTTGATACATGATGTAACCTAATTAATTTAAATGTTAAATTAATAAAATTAATTTAAATTCTAATTTCGAATTTAAATTTGAAATTTGAATTTAAATAGAATTAATTTAAATTCTAATTTTGAATTTCGAATCTGAAATTGGAATTTAAATATAGTCATTAAATTAGATTTATTGAAGATGGAGAAAATAAAGGAAACCAATCAATTAGATTGATTGGAAACAAATCAATTGGATTGATTGACCAAAATTAAGGAAACCAATTAATTAGATTAATTGGCTGAAATTGAGGAAACAAATCAATTAGATTGATTGACCAAAATTAAGGAAAAAAATTAATTAGATTAATTGGCTGAAATTTGGAAAACCAATCAATTAGATTGATTGGATAAAATTAAAAAAACTAATTAATTAAATTAATTGGCTGAAATTGGGGAAACCAATCAATTGGATTGATTGGATAAAATAAAAGAAATTACCCAATAAGATTGGGATTTGATGAGGGCGCTGATTTGACCTAGTCTTAGGTTAATGAGTCGCCACATCTATATATAGCCCCTCTTTTTCCTTAGTTTTGTATCTCTTTTTCTTCTCTAATTTTCTCCATTGAAACCTTAGCCAACACACACATCAGTGTGGCGGCTATCTCTCTCTTGGAATAACCAAAGGCACTACCCAATCTCTATTCTTCTCTTGAGTGTAGCAACCTCCATTGAAGGAGATTGGGCATTCAAAGAAGTGTTCTTCTCTTACAAGACAACAAGGTGGTGTGGATTTCCATCGGAGGACTTGTGTTCTTCAAGTCTGAAGAATTGATCAAGAACGCATTCGATCATGAATAATAATCCGAATAAAGGTATCTACTTTAAACCCTAACATGTCTATTGCATGATTCATGGGTTAAACATAATTGAGGGTGGGCAAAGGTTGCTTCTTCCGCATAAAAAATTTAATTTTTCCCTCTTTTATGTTCATGGCCTACAAAAGGAAACTTACACTATTATGCACGGACACGGGACACGACACGACACGACATTCCGACTCATTCATTTTAAAAATGCTAAATTTCGACACGCTGGGACACGTTTTGATATTAAATAATATTTTTAATATATATAATATAGTTTACATTTAATACATATAGTAACCCATAATAAGTGACGTAACTAATCAAATATTCAGAAGGAGCAAAATAAATTGGATTTATGTGTTTGGAATCAATGTTGTTAAGATCGAGATCTTACTTAAGATCGGGAGAGGATAAAAAAAATCGTAAATCGTAGGATCGACATGGAAAATATGGGAATCGTAGGATCGTAAATCGTAAATCGTAGGATCGACATGAAAAAAATCGTAAGAATGTACCTGTACATATAAAATATTAAATTCACATAAATTTTAAAAGGAGTTTTTTCCTAAAAATATGGGAATAACCTTTTATATTTTAAAAGGGTAACCTTATTATATTTTATGTATGAGAATATTAAATTAATTAAAATTATATTGACACATAAAATTTTTAGTTATTTAATCACTTAATTAACTGAAATTGTATGAGATATATATATTTTACTAACAAAGTGCAGGGATCAGAAAAAACTTTTTTTTTGCAGAGATAAGATTAGTCTTCCTTAAACTATTAAATAGCAAGTGGGCCCTTGAAATCCTTATATTTCAACTTTCCATTATCTCATAAACGGCTCTTTCTCTTTCTTCGAAAAGAATAGTTTTCTTCTCTATATTCAAGAAACGATTGGCAAAAAAATTAAAATAATGTATTTAAATTAAATAATTACGCATTTAATGTTGTTTTGTAAAAAATTACACATCTACTGCACAATGTGAAGTCACTTTTGAGCGTCACATGTGACGCCCCATTGGGCGTCTCTCCCTTGGAGAAGACGCCCCAATAGGGCGTCACATGTGACGCCCAAAAGTGGCGTCACATGTGTGCTCTATATATTTCCCCACCCCCTCCATTCAATTCACACCTCTTCTCTCACTCTTCATATCTCTCTTCTCCACCAACATTCCTTTATCTTTAATTTTGTATTTGAATTTTAGTTCTAATTCTATTTAAAAATGAGCTTAAATCCTGATTCTGTTCGTGTTGTGTTATATTACAATGGTAGGAAGGAAGAAGGTCGACGAGGTGTCATATTCGAAGGTGAAAAAAGGCCGACACGTATCCAACGCAACACAACCATTGGCGAACTGCATCAGAGAATTCGGCAGAAGTTAAGTCTTCAAGACAACCAATGTATCACTGAGATAACGACAAGGGTGTGGCAAGGTGATAAATACATTAGTTTGAAAGTGCTTGACGATGAAGACTTGGAGATGACAATGGAAGAATTTTGCAACCAGTCAAGGACAGATTTTCTAGAGTTGTATGTCGACATCGTCGCAACCGAGAATGCTCCAATACCGGTGAGGTCAGTTTATTTAAATTCTCCCCGTCTTCCAGCTTCTCCTGCCGCTCATGCGTCTCCAGTTGGTAACTATTCTGAGGGAGATGAAAATGATCCGACTTGGGAAATGCACGACGAAGATGACGATAACAACAATGAAAATATGGCAATGGAAGAACATCTTCTGGCGGAGGATGCTAGTGCTTCAGAAGGAGATGAATCTCGTGAGATGGGTGCGTCTGAAATCCCAATATTCCATCAACCAGTCGTCGCGCAAATGCCGCAGTTGAATGACGTTGCGTCTGCTCCGTTTGGTATTCCACAAGAAGGTAATTGATCCCATTCGTCATACTGCGTGAATAAATAACTGATTTAATACCTGAAATAGTAAGTTCGTATTAAAAATTATAATCCGCAATTGTTGGTGACACAAATGTTATTCCTTTTTGGGAAGGAATTCCGCATTATTCTTACATTGATTGGAGTTATCAGAGCGAACAAGAATCATGTATTGATGGTTCGGTGTCTGGATCGGCTTCAATACAAGGTCCGTGGCAACAGGGTGACATGTTATTTGTCAATCAAGAATTTGCGACAAAAAAAGATGTCCAAATGGCACTTAAGCACAACCTTATTAGGGAGCATCAAGAAGCCATTGTAATTGAGAGCACGCCTGCAAAGTTGTCCATGAAATGTTGTGCGTACGATCAAGGTTGTCCGTGGCGCGTAAGGGCGATCAAACCGGTGTTTCGTGAAAATTAGAAAATATCGAGATGGGGTGGAAAACACGAATGTGTGAATGAGCACATTTCTCAGGGTCATAGACAGCTCGATGCGGACGTTATTGCAGATCTCGTGATAGGTACCTTTTTGTATTTTTGATGTGTGAATGAACACGAATGTGTAATTAAATTCGTTCGATGTTATCGATGCACTGATATCCTCTTCAATGCAGGGATGATAAAGTCTGAACCATCTGTGACAATCTCTTTGGTGCAAGAAAGGATAACTGCTAAATATGGTTTTCAAGTTTCCTACAGAAAGGCGTGGTATGCGAAGTAGAAAGCGATGGAAATTTTGTACGGTGATTGGGAGGAATCGTATGCTTTTTTACCAAGGTGGTGCGAATACATGCTTCGCTTTTCTCCAGGTTCATTTTATCATATACAAACTAATGATCTTTATGCCGAGCAGAGCTTAGTTTCTGGAAAAAAGGTTTTTCATCGCATTTTTTGGACGTTTAGACAGTGTTGTGAGGCGTTCAAATTTGCCAAACCCGTCATACAAATTGATGGAACACATTTATATGGGAAGTAAAAAGGGAAATTGTTGGTGGCCACAGCCCAAGATGGTAATAATGAATGTTTACCGATCGCATTTGCCATCGTAGAAGGCGAAACTTTGGAAGCATGGGATTATTTTCTCGTTAATATTCGTACTCATGTCACTACGATGTCAAACATATGTTTGATATTCGATCGGCATCGAAGCATAATATCTGCTGTGGAAAATAACCCTACTTGGCAGCCGCCAAATGCGTATCACGTATTCTGTATTCGTCATATTGCAAGCAACTTCAATCAAAAGTTTCGGAATGAAGATTTGAAGCGGATGTTAAAGAATTTAGGTATACTCATTTACATTTGTGCGTAATTATTTCTTTCCATTATGACTGTCAATTTATGTTTAATTCGTTCATGTCCAATTTGTGCAGGTTATACTCCAGCAATGGTTGATTTTGAAAGGAATCTTGCGAGTTTCCGTGACAGTAGTCCTCAAATTGCTGAGTGGATTGATGCGAATCCTAAGGAAAAGTGGTCGCGTGCCTACGATATTGAAGGACGGAGGTACGGACATATGACAACAAATTTGGCTGAATCTGTCAATAGGGTTTTGAAGGGGGCCAGAAATATGCCTATAACAGCATTGGTTAAGCATACATATAGCATATTGGTTGCATATTTTGTTGAGAGAGGAACAAATGCTCTTGCACAACTTTAATCAGCTCATCGTCACTCCAAACATGTTGTTGAATTGGTCAAGAAGAACCGGGTAGATGCAACAAGCCACCACGTTCGTGCATACAATGTTGAACATACTGAATTTGAGGTTGACGCAGGTTGGGAGCGTTCATATTCTGTCAACCTCCCACAGAGATACTGTCAGTGTGGAAAGTTTAAGGCCTTTAAGTATCCGTGTAGTCACGTCGTTGCTGCTGCGTTAAGTGTTAGGCAGAGTGCGTTCACTTACGTTGACGACGTCTTCTTGATAACTAACTTGGTCGAGGCTTATTCTTTTCCGTGGGAGCCAATCGGAAACGAGGAAGAAATACCTGAAATTAGTGGTGCAAAGATTATTCCTGATTCTACTATGTTGCATGCAAAAGGTCGTCCAAAGTCAACTCGCATCCGCAACGAGATGGATGAAGTTGAGACAAGCCAGAGCCGTATCAGGTGTGGACTTTGCAAGGAACGCGGCCATAATCATCGGCGATGTCCAAGTCGTGGGAGAAACGACTGATTTGCATATTATGTCATTATTTTGCTGTTGGTTATGTTATTGCATGAATTGTAATGTCTGTTACGTTGGACTTTTTACTTTCCGTTTATGTATGTTTTTAATCTTGTATTATTAATTAACTGATGTTGTTAGTTACCGTAATATAAATGCGCAAAGGACGACAACCAAAACATAAATAATAACGCATAGTGAATAGTCCAAATAATATAATAATGTAGCGTCCACAAAATAACAACATGCTACACTCATAACTAATACAAAATAAAAAAATAATAACAATATGAAACAGTCCACAACATAGTGAATACTCAAAATGGCAATGAAACTACGACCACAGTGGCCATAGCCTATGTCGTGCATCCCTATCTCGCAGTATACGTCTGTCCCAGACTGGGTCACCCTGATGCACCTCTGGAGGTGGAGTGTGGAAGTCATCCATTGCCGCACGGATGAAATCATCTGATGGTCTTGCACTGCTGCCTGGCACATCAAAAGGGGTGTGTCCCTGACTGTCAGAATCTGTGGCTAGAGTCTCCCCACTGTCATGGCTCTCTATAACAAGGCCTACAGAGCGATACAACTCAATCGTGTCCTCTGCAGACCTAAAGGGGTAATCGCCATCAAGTCCCTGTGAATAGGGCTGGAAATCAGGCTGTGAGGATTCCGGATCCGCTCCTGCCATAGCCATCGGACTAGCCTAGAAAACTGGCTCCTGCCCGCTCATGTAAGGGTGCTCTGACGCCGCCTGACTAGGACCTGCCGCATACTGCGATCCGTGATGATAAATCGGCTGTGACCCGTAAGTAGGACCAAAGGCTGGAGGTCTGAACCATCCCTGAGTCTCGACCACTGGTCTTGGTGCCATAATCGGGACAGGCTCAGCAGCAACTCTTTCACGTCTACGTCCTAATCCGCGTCCCTCCCGTCTATTACGAGGAACATCCACGATCAACTGAGGATCAGGCTGTGTCTGCACGGGGGGTGCCTTAGGTCCAGGCTCATCAACTCGTGAACTCTCACGAAACATCCCAATAATCCGGCCTATCTCCTCGTGGATATACTGTAGTCCAAATCGAGGAAACTCCTCCGCCGTGGTTGCATGATATAGCATTTCAAGACCGTCAATCTGCATATTACGAAAAAATGTTAGAAAATGTGAAACAAATGTAAAATAAGTACAAAACTCACCATGCGCCCTATCTTTGCTGCCCTCCGAGATATGTAGCGCTTTCCCCTCTCTCTGTACCACTCCATGTACGCATGATTAGGTGACATCAAACCATATAATGGAGGTGGCAGTACAATATGCTGAATCCTGGTATTCCATCGATCAATGTGAGCCCTCAGCTTACGTCTCCAGTTCTCTTCTACCTTCCCCCGTAGAGTATGATCATGTATTCCTCTCAATTTTCCAGAATTTTCCGGGATAGGTTGATCAAGACCGAACTGTCGCATGCACCTATCCGGTTGACATGCCTCTACTGTGTGGAAGTAGATAATAGGTGTGGCAGCAAGCCACAGATACTGCTGCTGTGGAGTCACGTCAAGCCACTCATATTGTATATATGGCTGCCACACTACCTACAAACAATATGTGAAACAATATATAGAGTTACAAAAAAAAATATTGATGAGACAAATAACAACATCGTAAGTATCCAACACCAAACCTCTCTACAGAGTGTGTCCAATGTTGCCCGATAATGGGTGACCTCATTAGGTTTAAACTTTTGTACAGCATTAAACCTGTCAATCAGAAACATTATCAACCATACATTATCAATCATAATCAAGAAGTATACAGTTAGTATATACATTATTAACCATACATTATCGAAATCAAATGAAGTAAATAAATCATATCGGCATCATAATGTGTGCCCGACTCTGGATGAGGAGGAAGGGGTGGAACAATGGGTGGGAATCGTATCCATGCCCAAATTTGAAGGAGAATATGGCAACCACCCATGTCGCTTTGACGGGCATCTGTCACTTCACACAAATTCCTGAACAAGTGTGTCAAAACTGCAGATCCCCAGCTGAATCGGCTAATGTCCTCAAATCCTCCACCTAGCAACGAGACAAGCCGGCAACCAAAATTGCTACCTCCAGACTTGTCCGCCAGCAACCAAAGTCCCCAACATCCGGGCAATGTGGGCTTTTGTGAAGTAGATCTCGGCAGCATGATTCCCCTCATGATCAGTCCACCGGGTATAATGCTGATCAAAGAATGAGATGCGGAGGTCTCCGGAATGATGGAACTCACCGGCATCTGGAACATGTCCAAAAACAGCAGCACAAGCAGCGTGCCAATCCTCAGAGGTCGATCCGATGACGACAGTACCGTCGGTCGGCAAGCCCAAGATGCTTGCCACATCTTGTAAGGTGATCGTCATCTCACCTTGGGTCATGTGAAACGTATGTGTCTCTGGTCTCCACCTCTCGACCAGAGCACTAATTAAAAATGTATCTATCTGTGATAAATTTCGCAGTTATCACGTGTTAACGAATTTTATTAAATAATTACATAAATACAAAACGACATAAATAACTAACCTGGATATGTTGCATCCTGGCAACATGTATGAAACCCGCCTGTCTGAGGTACTCTTCCACAACCTGTGGAATAGCACCGGTAGGTGGGCCCCCTTGTAGCTTCCCACGCCTAGTCTTAATCTTTCTTGCATGCTCAGTATTCCACACTCGCTGTGAAATATGACCTTTCTGCGTCCTCTTACGAAGGACCTCCCACCTGTACGGCCCAGGTATGATCCACATGCTGGGATCGGTGGGCTCTACATCCGAATCAGATCCCGAAGAAGATGATGACTCAGCCATTATCCTCAACTATATAATATAAAACAACATTTAAATTAATCACATGTAATGCCCCATTTTATTTACAATTTAATTAAGCAGTGACATAATTGATTATCACAAAAATTAAGCATATGCGTCATTTATTTAACTAGAATCGAAATTTATAAAGTCCCGCCAAAACGTAGAATAGTTATTTATTTGCAATTAAATAATAATAATACATCGGAAAAAATAATATAATACTAACTGAATACTTGACCTTAGGTCACTACCAACTTGTCCAATACGTACTAATCATCACACCTAACTAACTACAAAGTTATGCACTCCCGCATTAATAACATCATACATACGAAATTTACGATGTCCCTAACATTATTTATAAATCACTAATTAATATGCTAAACCCAAATGCATAATTAAAAATTAATAATAATAACTACGTAATAATAAAATTACTATATCGTTACAACATTCATAGCATGCCACAAAATTTCCAAGTGACTATCCTAATGTTCCAAGTCTCTAATATACAATCAATCCTAACATGTATTACTAACTAGCACTGTAATTTAAATGTATACATATGAGGTATTATGACCTTACCTACGTTGGCAGAGCTTCGCTACGAACCGCGGTTAGAGAGAGGTTGGAGAGAGGTTAGAGAGGTAAATGAGTAAGGAGTGAAAAAAGGAAAGTGGGTTATATATAGGTTGCACATGAGACGCCCCCTTTGGGCGTCACATGTGACGCCCCAATCGGGCGTCTTCTCCAAGGGAGAGACGCCTCACTGGGACGTCACATGTGACGCCCAAAGAGGGCGTCTCATTGTGCAACAGATGTGTAATTTTTAACAAAACAGCATTAAATGCGTAATTATTTTAATTAATTACATTATTTTAATTTTTTTGCCAGCAACGATTTGTTTCTCTGCAAAGATGGTCACTGTGGATTTGGTCTCCGATAAACACAACATTGCCGATGACAACAGCCAGCTGCTTCCTCCCTCTCACTCTTCTTCTTGTAAATCTGGGTTTTCACCCTTGAATCGCTAGAACTTATTCTCACTCTCTTCTTCTTGTCAATTGTTTTTTTTCCTTTGAATCGCTTGAACCATGGGATCGTCCGATCCAACCCCATCTACGTTTTTACACGTCGATCTTAACCGATCTGAGAGTGAAGATTGAAGACAGAAGGGTTCTAAACTTTTTATTTTTTATTAAATATTTTTACTTTTTTTTAAATTGCAATTTTTTTATTTTTAAAAAAAACGTGTCCCAAAACGTGTCCAAATACGTTGACAGCGTGTCAGATTCGGTCAAAATCGTGTGTCCCCTAGTCAACGTGTTCCAAAAAGTTGACCACGTGTCGGATGTGTGTCGGTGTCCGACACGTGTCGAACACGCAATTTTCCCCAAAATTGACAAGTTTGTGCTTCAGAGGCTGCCACTACTAAAAAAGTATGAATTAAGGACGGATTTTAGAGAGAGAAAATATTCCATCTCTAATTGGGACGAATTTAGAGACGGAAAAAACAATACGTGCCTATTTGGGACGGAATTAGCGACGAGATAAGTTCTGTTTCTAATAGGGACGAATTTTGAGATGGAAAAATATTCCGTCCCTATTTGGGAATTGGGATGGACTTAGGACGAAATATTTTCAATTTTTGCAATCCATCCCTAATTCCGTTCCTATTAGGGACGAAATATTGTTCATCCCAACTTGGGATAGAATTAGGATATCATCTCTTAAATCTCTCCCTAAATCCGTTTCTAATAGGGATGGAATTTTTTCGTCCCTAATAGGGATGAAAAATAATTCATCCCTAATTGGGACAGATTTAGGGACTGAATTTTGTATTTAAGTGTTATTGTTTATGAAGTTGCAAAACAATTAACTTTTTGTTAGATTATCTAGATTGGATATTTATGTTGAAAAAGTAACTTTACGTGACTTATGGGGTGAGAAATATTTTAAGGGTGGTTAATCCAACCGGCTAGTGACCATTACTAGCAAAGTATAAGTTAGAGATGGGAAAAAAAATCTCTCATATCGATGGATTCAGAGATAAAATCACAATCACTCTCCAATAGGGGAGATTGATGAACTCATAGTTTGTCATGTTTTATAAGATTAAAATCACAGTAATTAACTCTCAAATGAAGTTTTAAGTATAAAAACTTTAAGTTATTTGGTTAGGAAGCATCAATTGCGTGTGTGTGTAGGCGTGTGGGTGTGGGTGCATGAAGAGCTTCAAACTTTCTAAGCATTAAGAGTAAGATTGAGCAATTAAATGATCTAAATATAACCAAAAGACATGGGAATTGTGATTAAAAGTGTTTTCTAAGAAGTTTTTTTCAAAGTTTGAGCTTGTTTTATTTTACTCTATATAATAGGTCAAGCCTGGCATTATGTAGGCTGGACCATATACCTTTGATAGCCGCTTGACCCATTTACACTCCTACTTGGAGATGTGAACCCCTTTCCTTTGTGAATATTTATGATTCTAAATTAGACAACTTTATCTATCATTAGTCCAGTAATAATCTTACATTATCTACAAGTTCATCGACATTCATCACAAGTTTCACATGTTTACTTGAGTAACTCAACTTTGATATTAAGAAATTCATTTATTCATCGTGTAAGGGCTCATACATATACTTCTTTTTCCTTTCATTCTTTTCAACTTCATAAAGGGCATTACTTACTATCACAACTATGTTTACTTTTACCTGATGCCATATAACTTTCTTGAGATTAATTATTTTTTAAATATTAAAGTAGAATCCTTTCTCTTGAGAGTGATTAAAATTCTTAATTTATTTTTTCTAAAGAATGACACATGATCGACACTTTCTCTAAGAGACAGACTTGTGAAATAGATAACTTGAATGGAGATTTGTAGATAATTATTATAAAGATATTTTAAAAATTGATTTTTCATTTTAGGCAGAATCTTAAGCTAATTTACTTTTCAATTGAGCTCATTTATTCTATTTTATTAGGATAATTTATTTTCTTTTTTGATTAATACCAATTTGAAATGGATAAAATATATATAGTAATATGATTAAAATTATTTTCAAATTCTTTTTTTTTTTCTCTTTTCAATCCTTTATAATCAAAGTATTCCTTATATTTCACCAAAATTGTTTACAATCAAAGTAATCCTTTTCAATCATATGGATTTTTTTTTTTTGATTTTTTCCTTTTTTGTATTAAATATTCCTTATATTTCACCAAAATTATTTACATTTTCCTATTTTCCAAAATTTACATTTTCCTCTTTTTCCAAAATTCACCCTTCTCTCTTAACTTTTCACAATGAATTGCACCATTTCCCCCAAAAAGTTTAAGCTCCCGCTTCTTTCTTTAACAAATTCCTAATTCTTTTTCATATTTCCTCTAATCCTATCACAGTATCAAACACCGCGTCAAAACCAAATCTCTCTCTAATTTCTCCTGTCATCCAAAATCCTTCCTATTCTGAGTCAGCGGTGACTTGACTATCGAGGACTGATCGGAACTGAGCCCGCCGGTGGTGGGTCCCTTGAGGAATCAATAGAAGCTCTTGCAATTGCAGAAACAAATGATATTGTCATGTTACCATCAATATATGAATGGGAACTGCATCATCGGTTATGGAGGTTCTTCTTCTCGATTTTTTTATGCTTTTTTCCAAAGGTACTCTATGAACGGAAAAAATCCTTCCCTGATTTCGTCTCTATCAAGGACGGATTATAGGTTTTTACTAATCAAAATTGTTAATAATGTTAGGGACGAAAAATACATAACAGAGACAGATTTTATTCCGTCCCTAATAAGGATAGAATTAAAGTTTCGTCTCAAAACATTAGTGAGGAGCTATTTAGGGACGAAATTTTTCCCATCTCAAATTTCATCCCTAATTTATTAAGGGACAGATTTATGTCTGGTTCCGAATATCTGTTTTTTTAATAGTGTACATGTACCGTACTACGGGTAGACCCGGTAATCAACTGGAATTAGATAGTATTCAATTGTTCCCTGTTGATTCCAGATTGCCACCTTAATAAGTACCTCAAGGACATTTTTGGTTTGGGCAAAGAAGCTCAGAAACATAAAGTTGTTTATTGTTAATAAATATACTATGAAGGAATATCTGGGCAAGAAGTGTTGATGATGTGAATTTTTTTCTACCTTATTCTGTTTTCTCTTTTTACTTTTTTTCTTCTTCTTCATTTTTTTTTTTTTTTTTTGAGGCGGGGAGGCAACAAAGGAAAATCGCAGCCTGTAGTTTAGAATAATTCTTATAGCCTGCTGCTTGTGACTTGTTAGATGGCAACTGAAGAATATGGGTGCATGATATATGCCATATGGGATCTAATAGTTAAGAATTTTGGAGTAATTGGCAGTTTGGCGCTTAAAAGTGCATGAAAGATTATAATTTCTATAAAGTGTTGATATAAGGGCTAGTTTAGTGTACATGATAGAATAAGGGTAGAATATGATATGAGACTAATAAAGGTAGGGTATGATATAAGGCTGATAAGCCTATATTATATTCTGTGTTTGATGAGCACCTTGTTAGGAATCTAATAAGATTACGTAGAGAGAGACCTGAAGTGACAAAAGATTCTTATGTTCAGATTATTCATTCATTTTATGCGCTGGATCAATAGGAATAAATAATTAGTTTGACAAAAGATGCTGTATGGAGGGACCTGAAGTTGAAAATATTAAATTGTCAATTTCCATTTCACAAACTGCATTTTAGATCATGAGCACACAGGACTTCTCCTAGCAATGTAGCTGTAAGTAGGTTATGATGTTCATGTCAATAAAATAGAGACTGCCAATTGCTTCACTGTTCAAAAAAATAGAATAATAGGGCAAGATATAACTTCAATTAAAGCAAGATATCATAATAAGATAAACATAATAGTACATTACCCTTTAGATAAAATGCACTAACCAAGGTTATAATCAAGGTCAAAACCTTGAATGAGTTAATCAATAAGCTTTAACAGATTGTCGTATAAAGGTCAACATAATAATATATTCCCATTAGGTAGAATACACAAACCAATGTCTAAACCAATATCACTTAACTAATTGGGCTTTATACTATATCCCCATATATATAATGACTTAGCTCATTTTTATTAAAATAAAAAAAATACAGTTGATTTTAACCCACAGGAATTGCAAAAGATTCTAATAGTATAAACTAAACTACCATTCAAGGCAATTCCATCAGTTTGCGATATTCAGCTAGAGCCCACATTGGAAAAATATTTCGATACATTACAAAATGGATAAGGCAATTCCTCAAGAATACGCCTGTGCATTCCTGCCATAAATTAATTAAAGAAATAATTAATAACTAACAAGTATCTCATGTATTGTATGGATATTTGTTATTTCGGATAAAAATAAAACTATGAATTTAAAAAATATTTAAAAGAAAAAATTAAAATTAAAAATGAGATATATATAATCAATTCATGTAAAACTTTAAAAATATATATCAAAAGAGAAGAAATATGTAAATTATAAATTTTTTGAATATGCGTAATTAATTCAAAGAATTTGAATTTACTTTTTTAAAAAAAAAAAATTAGAATAACTTATATGTACTAAAAGATATAACTATCCTTAAAAAGGATCAGCTCTGATTTATAGCACAAGGATATGTTATATAAAAAAATTGTATTCTTTTAATAAATTTAAGATTAAAATTTGAACATACCATATGACATCGGGTTTTTTGATTTTTAGGATTATGTAAAAATATTATTAAAAGTAAGTATAGATTAATGTTTGCTATTACGCATGAAGACCAGTGGCGGAGCCACTTAAGGGCGGGATGGTGTCTGAGTCCGGATTAAATTTTTACAAATTTTACTTATTATATTAATTATATAATTAATTTTGATTTGGCCAGAGCTAAAATTATTATTTGGTTCGGGCTAAAATTATAGTTTAACCCTATTTAAAAATTAAAAAATAAACCATAAGAATTGTTGTAGTGGTGAGAAATTTGAGTAAGTTATGTATTTAATTCTTACTTGTATAAAAACATTTAAAAATATATTTAATAAAATTAAAAAACATGTAATAAAAATATTTAATAAAATTATAACTCTCGATTTAGGTTTCTTCTTTTCGTGGGCTGCTTTTTTTCTACCTCTTGCCCTATTTTAAGGTCAGATTCTCTCTCTACATATCAATTTATGCAAGATGTGTTGTTGAGCTTTGCTTAATTAGTATTTTTCCTTTTTTATATCTTAAACCTTTTCTAACTTCGGCTTTTCCACAATTTTTTTCCAATTTACAATTACAAAGCTCTCTTAGTTTGTTTATGGACCAAGACTTTCACGAGGACCCTGTCTGGGGAGCATGACAATACGCTCTGGTTTGTCTTTGGTATTTGTTTCGTTCAAAGCTGTTTACAACTTTACATCTTTTGCCATCAAAGTGGGTATGCTGGAGCCTCCGAAATAGCTTTGTTCGTGTGTTCTTGTGCGTTGGCAGAGAAAGACAAAAGCTTTTTAATGTTATATGATACTATTTAGTAAATAATATAAATAAGTATGCTAAAATTCATAATAAAATTTTCCCCTAATAAATTTATGTAATTATTATAAATATTTTGATATGTAAATTTTTTTGACCCGAGCTAAAATTGGAGCCTAACTCTGCCGCTGATGAAGACATACGTAAAAAAAAGCTTACTAAAATGACATCAGTGATGGAGTTATAAGTGGTAAAATATGTCATGACTCATAAGTTGATTCGTGATACGATATGTCAAAGTACATATCTTGTTGACTCACGGGATAAAACAAAAATTAGATCATGTCTAGGTTTGAGAAAAGAGTACAAATTATTATTGTGTCGTATCTCGGGTTGACTCATGTGACCTGCATATCGACTATTTATTTTCTATTCAAAAAAATACAAAATAAAAGTTGAAATTTCAGTGATTTTGACACTACCCACAGAGAGTCACAGATCAACTTGCGTATTTTATTCAACATGTTTCGTTACTTTTAATTTTTTTATAAAAAATCTAATCTAAATTTTTGTGTCTCAACTTATGTGACCAGCGACTGGTCATGTCCACCTTTCATTTTTTGACACGTTATTGACAACGTGTCGTGTTCGGGTTGAGCAATTTTGCCCTCATGCCAACACTTGACATAACATGAATTTGATCCGTCGACACGTTTTACCACCTGTTATGCTCCTATAATTCTTGATCAGTAGTTAACATCACCTACTATGTTGTTACAAGAGTTCTTCCTATATATTTTTTTTTTTAAAAGATAATATTGTTTGAATTAGATCAACGGATATAAAATATAAAATATATTAAAAAGATATAGAAGAAGTAAACTTGTAGAAAGTAGACTTAAATATAATAAAGTTGGTTTTATATTTTTTATAGATCTTAAATTTATTTTGATGTCTATTTAAATATCAATATATAAGATAAGAATAATTGAATTTGAATTTAAAAATTGGATAAAAAATATTTAAAATTGATAAAAAAGATTTTATTTTCTTACCGATTTGGCAATTCAATTTGATATATATTTAAAAATTAATATATAATAAATAAATAAGATAAGAGAAATAAAATAGGATTTACAAATTAGATACAAAGTATAAATTTAAACAAAAAATGCTTATTTTATTTTTTAGTCAATCTCAAATATATTTGATATCTATATAAATATCAATATCAATCTTATTAAATAATATTAAATTTATTTTGTAATCAATCCAATTGATTTGAGTATTTATATTCATATTATATTATATTGCAATTTATGTAATGTGATACATATGTTATGAATATTTTCGTTCAATTATATAATTTTTTATTTTAAATTTAGATTTTAAAGTATATGTAATTTTACTCATCACAAATAATCCTCGCTCCACCATTAAATGACATCAAAGGGTAGACTGATACCTGTTGTGGCCAATCACCATCTTCTAGTTGAGAATTGATGAGCAACTTTGCTGCATGATGAAGAGGAGTTGGGTCTCTCTTATCCTGCATAGAAATTAGAAAGAAAAAATTAAAATTATTTAACATTTTTTTTTTGAATATGATTTAAGAAAGCGAATTAGATCGTTCGCAGAGGCAAAAAGTGAATTGCAATTTGCAAGAAATAAAAAGTAGACCTGTCCAGAATGAATGAGAGCCATCAGAGCCCATGCAGTTTGTACAACATTTGAACAATTTCCTTCAAGGGGTACGTATATCTGCATCATCCAATTCATCAAGCCATATTCATAAAGGGTAGTTAATTTAAAAATCATTCATTAAATGTATCTACCTTTTTTGGGCATGATAGATAGCTCTCCCCCCACCCACCATCCTCCCTTTGTGTTGCAAGAAGAAACTCAACAGCTTTTCGAATTGCAGTGCAATTGGAGTAAGTCTTGCCACATGCTGCAAGCCCAGCAACAGCAAAGTATGTGCCATAAATGAAGCAAACTCCCCATTTACCATACCATGAACCATTAGTTGTTTGGGTATCCTCAATGAATCGAACTGCCTTAATAATGGAATTCTCGATTTCTTTCTTCCTATGCTCCGGATATAGTTTCTTAAACAATACAAGAGCCTCAATTACCGATGCTGTACATTCAACATATTCATGCTCAACTACCAAGTCCTCGAAAAATTCTGTGGGATTGAGCACCTGAAATGGTTGGCATCGCAGATTAATTAATTAATAGCTAGTTACCATTCTTGAAATAAATAAACAAATTTCATTCTTATTAGTTGAGATGAATGACTCAGATTAAAATTGAAGTGTGCGTATATATATATATATATATAGGAAAAAAAATGAAAATTCAGTCACTGGACGGTCCAGTGCACTAAGTTCTCCCGCGAGAGCTTAGTGCACTAAATATTATAATGGTGTTCCACTGGTGTTCTCCCGGGAGAACATATTTATAATATTTACTATAACTGTGTTCTCGCGGGAGAACTTAGTGTACTGAACCAAATCTTACATCCAGTCCCTGTACACTCACTAAACCCATATATATATATATATATATATATATATATATATATATATATATGGAAAAAAATATTTCTCTAGCAACTTGAGATAAGTTTATCTCCGGCTATCCCAAATTTACGTCGTTATATTTATTTATTTCGTTATATTAATTGATTCACCTTTGAATGGTTATGATTCTTTTTCTCTCTCTCTTTCTTCATTACCATTGATCCAACTTTGTACGGTTATGATTTAGTAGCCGGAAATAAAATTATCTCAAGCAGCTTGAGAAACGATAAGTGTGTGGATATGTTTGTGTGTGTGCATGGATTCTCGGGGTTTATGTCTTATATAGTGAACTAAATCGCAATGTATATACATATGGAGTAGGTTATTGCAATATATATATATATATATATATATATATATATATATATATATATATATATATAGTAGGTTATTGCAATATATTTGTGTGTGTGCATGGATTCTCGAGGTTTATGTCTTACATAGTGAACTAAATCGCAATGTGAAGTATGGATTTGTTTCCCAAATGGGTAAAGTGTGTGGATATGAAGAAGATAAAAGAGGCAGTGATATAGACCAAAACTCTAAGATATCTCTGTTTAGCCTCAAATATGTTAATGGTGCACAAGGGAGATGGTGTGTAAGGGCTACGATTTATGACTGTGGAGAAAGTTCAGCACAACAATGGCAACAGAAAGTAGAGTCGAGAAGATGAACAATAGAAGAGTTAAGACCTCTTTATATACGAAATTAGAGATTCCTTCTCAACACGCAAGCCGTGATGTAATTATCGTTTTCAACCCTGTAAACCCCACTAGGTGTGAGGCAGCATGACCCATGGTATGTAAAGGATCATGTGTGCAAGGGAAATATGAGGGGGAGGAGCCACATGTTCCATGTATTGAATGATGGTGGGCCTTCTTGGCAGATTAGGATTTGGCCAGATAGGTCCATCCGCGGACCAGAACAGAAGCCCCCTAGTTTGGTGGTTTACTAAGTCAAAGTTCCATGGTGTTAGGAGTTTGTTCCAATCATCGGATCATCACACTGGTATTTGGAGGATATAATTCTTTCCTTTAGTTAATTCGGTCGGATTGAATAACTTGTCTTCGAAGCTCCACAACTTTGTTTTTCGAGAAAGTCCGTTCATTTTTTTACTCCAATAGTAGGCTATTACATCATGGCCACATGGCATTGTGTGATTGATTCGTACTTCATTGTCGGCTATGTTGCAATGATGAGTTGCATGTGACGGTTATAATAGCTTTTTAGCCTGCTACGAAAAGTCTTCTTTTCCCCTACATGTTTTTACAATTTTATCCTCTTTTTTGGCATATCTAGCTCTAATTCCATCTTGGATTTTGGGTCTTTTTCTCTTCTCATGCCCATTGAGCGTCAAAGCGTGAGTTGGTCAGTCATCAACCACTTTAGTTATTTTAAAGTTAAAACCTTTATGTCTTTCTTCTTCCTTTCGCAATTCTCTTCTTTGTTATATCCTTCAATCTGCACAGGTTCTTGAGGTTCGGAGCTTTCGCCTTTTCGCACTTTGCTTTTCTTGGCTTAATGTTGCTGATTTGCCTCTTTGTTCTTTTCATGGTGGCTCGTTGTTTTCCTCTAGAGTTATTTGGCCTCTTCTGCGTCTAAGTCTGCAACTCTTATTGATCTAAGTTTCAAACTTTATCTCTAGGTGTCACTTTTGTCCAGCATTTTTTTTTCTTTCGCTACTATTTTCTCATTTTGAGACTGGTAGTTCTCTGAAAAAGTTTTATCTTTTTGGGTTGTTGTTTGTCTTTATTGTGTCATCTAAGAGTATGAGTGAAAGAGGTAGGTCTTCTAGGCATATTTGATCGATGTATTATCACGATGAATCTCACCATCACAACCCACTGAGGCACAAGCATCAAAGGGGTTTTAGGAGACATTTCCATCAGTCTACTCACCATAGTGATTCAGGAACAAAAATGGGATATTTTGAAATGCCCATTGAGATATTAGGGATTTTCTTCAATGGGTATTATGGGTTATCCTCCCTTCTCCGAATCCACCTCTAATCAGCACTTCTTCCGGGGTGTCTAGGGAGATTTTGGCTGAAGGGGATCGGAGGTTAAATTTACTTTGGCCGAATATAGCCGTAGATATCAGACTTTTTGAGTGAGCACGACTGGTTGGTTTTCTAGCGACTTTGATTCTTCTTCTTTTTCTTCTATTTGTGCATCAGAATTTTTGATATGGCTCCCTAAAGACCCCCCTCCCCCAACCTTCCTGATTAGATGGCCAAGTTCAATGCACATCCAATTGACAGACTCCGCCTGAAAAAACTCATCGGGGTGAAAAACATGCCCCTAGTGTCGCCCTATGTTGTTTTGCCTCTCAGCCTTAAAGGAATCTGCTACTCATTTGGTCATCAACCCTTCAACTACTAAAGTACTCATACCCTGCCATTCGGGGGTGATTCCCCCTCTTATCTAATCTCTCATAGCGTATTTAGCTACACGCGAATGGGTTGACCCTGAGGTTAAAGGTGTTGTATCTCGCATTAACAATGAAATCCTAGTTAAGAGGATGCACGAAGATAAAAGGAAACCTTTGTATCTTACATCTAGTGTGGAGCTCAACAAGGATTAGTATGTTAGCCCTGCTGGAAAAGAAAATCGTATTTGCAACGATCGTGATCCAACTAGTAGCCGGCCAGAATTCCTTTATATATATAGTTTTTTTTTTTTATTGTGGAGCTAAGTTGTCATTCACAGCTTTTGAGGAAAACATCTTTAACTGGCTATCAGTATCCCCATCCCAAATACACCTAAATGCTTGGGCATTCATGCATATGTTCGAGTTAATGACGAAGCTTTTGAAAAAAAAAATCCTACATCACTGTTTATGCACCTCTACGTTGTGTCTCCTAATAAAAGAAAAATCTAGGCGGTCAAAAGGGACTTGCACTTTTTTGGCTTTTATTCCAATTCTTACAAAAAATTTAAAGAAGAATATTTCAAAATATTTCCCGCCAAATGGGTTGACATTCCCTTTTTTACGGATAAACGGTGAATTCTATTCCCCCTGTACTAGATTGCCCAACATTAAAATGAGGAAGACAAATTTTACTATGTCCCTGAGGGTAAGCTTACTACTCGGGAGCGCATTGCGCTAGCAAATAAAATACTTGAGATATTACGTGTGTTTAATTGATTCTTTGGCTTTCTAATTGTACATTTAGTGTTTTGTATTTGTATTTATCATATGTGATTGATTTGCGCATTACTCTATAGGGGAAAGATGGACGTATTCATACTTACCTGCTTGGAGAACGCTGGAAGAAACTGAAACTCCCTGGACTCAAATTAAGGAAGTTGTCGCCTTAAAGGTATGGTGAGGGAAGATCTTCCTCCTGCCAGTGGTGAAGGAGAGAAAGCTATCGCCAGATTAGGCATCAAAGAAATTGGACGAGATCGTCGGCCAGAAATGATTCCCACTCTTGGATTTACTCTAATGGAGGATGACGCATCCATGGAGGATGATGTTCTGGTCGTCGAAGAGACTCCTCGTCTAGCTCCAAAGAGGAAGAGTTCTACTTTTTCACGAGCGGATAAAAGTTCCATGAAAATCAGGCGAAAGACTCCTTGGAGCGCAAACAACAATTTCCTGAGAGTGCCTTCGCATTCAAAGTGTGGATGGTACATATTAAGCGTGCCTTTTTTCTCAATATGTAATTCGGTTGGCTGGGCTGATATCCATAGAAACCCCTTTGTATGTGTTTGTTGAGTAAAAAATAGGTCTGGAGTTCGTCAAAGGTGTCGTTGAACACCTCCGGTAGGACTCTATTCATATACAAGGGGCTGCTAATCTTGTGCAGTTGTACTATCAGAGGGGTATCAAGGCTGAGCAGCAACTGCACAATCATCTCAACAAGCAAGAAGAGGATAATTTGGTCCAAGAAAATCTCATTAGTGAGCTTGAAACTCTCAAGAAACAAAAGGCCGATGATGACAACTACATCATGGATCTTGGAGAAAGGCTTACCAAGGTTAAGGTCGACCTCACAGAGGACATTGAGATATTAAAAAACCTTTTAAATGTTTTCTTGCAGCAGTGCCAAATTTGAGGAGAGCTTCAACAAAGCCCAACTTGAGATCTGTGGTTTAACTAGTCAATGAACGATCTCAAATAAATAAGTTGATACTTTAAACCTTAAGCTTGAAGCCAGGAAGAAAGATATAGATGAAGCGAAGAAAGAGACAGATAAGGTGAACATTGAGGTAAAAAAACTTCTAGGATATGGTCCGCAAGATCAGTGTTGCAGCCCTCGAAAACATTTTAGAGCAAGTGAGGTTTTTGAACCCCTCAGCTAATTAGGAATTCGTTGATCGGCTACACACCGTCCAAGAGGGTAAGATCTTTAATGTTAATGCGGATAAGTCTCCCACCCTACTCTTTGACACTTCATGCTCTCATACTAAGGAACCTTCCTCCACAACCAATGATGCTCCAGATTTTCCTACAAAAATTGAAAAGCTAGAATAATGTGTTCTTTTGTATTTGATTTTCATAGTTTAGGTATTTATGGACTGGTTGGCCAACCCACGATTGAGGTAACTCACAAAATTTTTATATACATTATCAACACATTCGATCGGATTATTTATCTACCGCTATTTTAACTTGCTTGCTTGTCTTACAAAAGTTGTTTTTTCTTTCCCAATTGTATTGCTTTTACTCACTTTATGCTGCTTTCAAACGCTACCTTTCCTCGAGGGGTTCTTGCTCGGACTTCTTTCTAAGGTTTAAGATATGAAAAAACCTTTTTCGCAGGATGTTCGCTTGGACTCATACTAGAGTTTGGGGATATCAGGACATTTTGACCATAGAGAATTTTCCCAGATTTGTACTTGGGTTTGGGGATATGGGGACATTTTGCCTAAGGAGAATTTTTCCATATTCATTTTGGGATTTGGAGATATGGAGATATTCTTCTGGAGAATTTACTCAGATTTGTTCTGGGGCTTGGAGATTTTGACAATATTCCTCGCTTGGACCATTATCCCATATTCATTCTAGACTTGGAGATTTTAGCGATACTCCTCGCTTGGAGAATTTGCCCAATCTGTTATAGGGCTTAGAGATTTTGATGATTATTTGGCGAAGACATTGTTCTTTTTCACCAAGCTCTTGAATAGTTCTCTGGATGCAAGGTCCATGATAGGAATATACTCTCATGAAGGTGTATGTAAGGAGTGTAGTAGGGGATTATATTCTACTAATGAGGTGGCAAAACTAACTTTTGGAGGGTGAATAGAATACTCTAGGAGGTTAGGTTGGGTGTGAGATGAGAATGTAAGGTGTAAGAGGGTATCTGGGATATCTTTTGGAATTGGGATCCTTTTGGATTTTGGGTGAGAACTCTGGAGCCTCTCGAATTGCTCTAGAAAACAGTACTTTCCTTCTTGTATGTTTACCTTTTATTGCATTTGTCAGTCCTTAAAATAATCTGTATTCCCCATTATAATTTGTATTGTTAAGTCTGGAAATTCAGCAAGAGGAATACAAATTATGGTGAAAATTGCAACAGAAGGTGAAAATACTGGTTTCTAGAGCAATTCGAGAGGCTCCAGAGTTCTCTACCAAATTCCAAAAGGATCCCAATTTCCAAATATATCCTAGATACCCTCACACACTTTTCATTCACATCTTATACTCAGTCTAACCTGCTAGAATATTCTATTCTCACTTCAAAAGTTAGTTATGCCGCCTCACTAGTAGAACATAATCCCTTATTACCCTTCTTACATACATCTTCATGAGAGTATATTCCTATCATCCTACTGGTGGTGGTGTGGATATAGCACGAACAGAAGAAACTGAGTGTTTATCTAGTGTCTCCACATGCCCTTCTGAACTGGATCTTGAATCGATTGAACGGGGTTGCGAGTATTCACCACTATTTTTTATTTGAAGCTTCAAAACTCAAAACTCAAGCAATAATTGGCTAGAACAAAGATTAGAGAATGAGAATCAAGATTTTCCGTGTGGTCGTGGGTTCGATTCCCATAAAGGGTAGCACTGAACTAAATCAGAGTGTGAAGTATAAATATGCTTCCCAAGTGGGTAAAATACGTTGATATAAATAAGATAAAGGACGCAGTGGCATATAGACCAAAGCTCTAAGGTATATTTGATTAGCCTTAGGTATGGTGAGGGTGTACAATGGGAATGGTGAGTAAGAAATATAGATTATGGTTGTGGAGCAAGTTCTGCGAAGCAATAGCAATGGAGAGTAGAATAGGAAAGATGAACAGTAGAGGAGCTAGGACCCCTTTAAATAAGAAGTTAGAAATTCCCTCTTAATGCACAAGGCATGAAGCTATAATCGTTTCCAACCTTATGGACCTCACTAGGTGAGAGGCAACATGACCCACGATGTATAAAGGTCATGTGTGCAAGGGAAATATAAGGGGAACACTATGAGGGAGTCACATACTCCGTGTGCTGAATGATGGTGGGTCCTCCAGCCAGATCCTAGGTTCATCTTGCCAGAGCAGAACACATAGGAGAATGAATTCTCTTAATTTGAATAATCTTATCCATTCATTGATAAATTAAATGTCAAAATTAAAATCATCATTTTGCCTTTTCCATTTCACAAATTTTTCATTAGAATTGTGACCATATATCTATTAATGCATTTTTCACGTGATATGATACGGTAAAATGAAATATGGGAAGATTCGATTTTGGTTATTTATCACATACTTCCAACCATTCTTGAGCTCCTGCTGGCTCCCATGCTGAGAAACCACCTTTCTTACCCTACAATAATCGAATTGGAGATTTGAGATTCAAAGTGAATAACGTACAAAAAATAGAAATAAAAAATTAGTGTGCTCTAAGCAAACAAGTTATTGCCTCCCATGTTACTATGATGGAAACCAAAATTATGCAAATAGAAAGGCCATTTGTTGTAAAAAAGAAAAAAGGGCCATTGTTAATTAATTAAAAGCATATTGATGTGATTACCAAAAAAAATAAAAGCATATGGATGTAAATTTAATAAAACTTGCCTGAAGCGACAAAAGGAGATTAACCGAATCAAATAACTTTTCATCATCCATCTTTTCACCAACTATCTCTGATGGCAACATTGATAAAAGTAGACAGCACTGAAACACAACATGATTTGTCTAGTCTTAACTAATAAGTGAAACCAAGTTCAAGAATTAATTTACTTCATTACCTTAAAACATTCTGCAGTGCAATCAGAAACCTGCCATCCATTATCTTGATCAGAGAAGGTCCATGATCCTTTAGAAATGTGACGAAACATTCTTTTAAAGTCTCCTGAAGGGTTTTCCTTAACCTGTGGAATATGAACTTTAATTCATTACTGCTAACTAGAGCTAGCACACAAATATAATTGTTCAACAATTAATGAAAACGGAATGTATATTAAACACACCTGAGATTTCTTGAGAAAGTCGTGTCCTTTCAAAAGTGTAGGACCAATTTCGTCAATAAGGTTTGTGGCAAGCAGAGCTTGAACAAGTAATCCAGCATTCCATGATTGGCAACCAACACCCTACACCAAATAAATACGATAAAGTGCATTTTTTAATATCCCATTGATTACACATTTTGAAAAAGCTATACAAAGAGAGAGAGAGAGCGGGGGGGGGGGGGGTTATACCTGCATGGTCATTCCGTCTTCTGAAAGCCATAAGTAATCAGGGATCCTTGCAAGATGCTTCTTGAAAGCATCTCCATTTGGATCTTCCACCCAACAAGCAAGCATAAACAAAACCTGGCCAGTAAATAAATTTATAGAATGTTAATGTTTATTTTATAATGGTTGGAATTATATGTGTCTTTAATTTTTTTTTTATTGTAGTTGATGCATATATATATATATATATATATATAGGTACAGCGAAAGGAGATATGATACCCACCTTTTCCACACATCCATTGTCCATGTATCGACCATTCTCATCTTCGTAATGGATATGCTTCATTGTTATCTGAAGGGCCTTCTCTCTTACCATATTGTGGAATGGCCAACGCGTAAGAAGTGGTTCAGAGATCATGTATAGACTATCCCATAATAGATCTTGTATGAAGTGATGAGGATAGTGAAGATCTTCCTGTGATACGTACATACGACATGAATTAACAATTCCTCCATGATCGTATAGTTTGGTGATCTACTGATGATCATATATAGATTGATCTACTCTCTCACCTTTGCACAGGCATGGCGTGCTTTTTTCCAATTAATTTTATGATAAGGTTGAATAAAGATTTCTTCTCTCAACTGAAGAACAAGTGGTGTGATTGGACCCACAAATCTCTTCCCATATAAGTAAGACATAGGCAAGTAAACTAGCCGACAATAACACCACATTTTAGCTGCATTAATTCATATCACAATCGCATAAAAAAAGTTATATATGCTATATGGATGCTGTTTACTTTAAAACTCGTGTTCGCAAGTTATTTATGCATAGTTAGCGTTTACCGATCAAAATTAAAAATGGTGTGCAGCAAGATCTGGACAATATAATTTTCGATAAATAAACACTCAATTTAGTAAGTTGTATATTAATTTCATGTATAAATTATTATGTTATTGCATACATAATAACCGGACAGATTAGTTATATCATAATCCACCTGGATGCATAGGAAGAAAAGAAGGAAGCATCCAAAACTCCGGAGGCATTGGGTTGACTCCCGACCAGTCGAATAAACCTAGTATCTGCAATTACAAGATTGACTCATATAAGTGACGTACAACAACATACACGCATGAAAAATAAAATAAAAAATAAAAAATCTGTTTATAAAAAAAAAATATTTGCATAAATAATTACAATATGTTCCAGTTTATATATATGTGTGTGTGTGAGAGATATGATCAACTTATACCGGTATAAGAATAAAAAGTCTTACACCACATCTTAACTGTTGATTTTCATGCATCCAACAATTAAGATTTATTGAATCATTAATTATTATGAGACCCATGTCTGTATACCTCAGGAGGGGAAGTATGTCACTTTAGGAGTACTCCTAGGAGCAATGGTTTCAACCAAGGCCCTAAGTTTCCTAGGTGATAGAAAGAGGGGGATGGTGAACAACGGCTACAGTGGCTCTCTATATTATCATAATAATCATGGTAGTAAAAATTGGGATTTTATCTAAAATCGGAGGAAGGATAAAAAATAGTAAAACATAAAATCCTAACATAAAAAAAATCGTAAAAAATCGTAAAAACGTTTGGAATTTTGATGAAATCGTTTTGATTGAAAAAAATCGTAAAATCACAGATTTAAATCGGAATTTTAACTACCGTAATCATAATAACAGCTCATAACACTAGTAAATAGTGTAAAAAAAAGGATATTTATAGATAGGGTTGAGCTCCTTCCCCAATGGAATGACCACACTTAGAACTGGGATGTCTGATTCTTTACTCCTTCCCCAATGGAATGCTTCCAACTCCCTGTGGTTGACATGGTAGGGATGGGTATCCCTCCACTATTCTTGCCTAATTAGTAGGCTTGTGTTTTTTCTATCGTATTCCAAAGAAAAAACAAGTTGCACAATATACTCATAAATAAAAAGTTGTGTTTTACGTTTAACTGTTTAAGTGCCTATCTTAAAGTTTTTACTAAAAATAAAAAACTGGTACTGGTTACGTCATCCGGTTTATACGTTGGAAGCAAACCAAAAGTGATCTTACTCATTTATTTTTAGGTTCAAATTTTAACATTTCCTTAACCATCTACGTTGGTTCTGTCATTATACAGTGATAGTTACGTTCATCTAAAAATATTGTTATAATGTACCCAAAAAAAAATAAAAAATTGTTGTAAGCCCTCATCAGGCTTGTAGCATTTACTGACCATGGAATGAGATAATTTTTTCTCTTCTAAAGTTTTATTAACCGGAAAATACTATTATATTATGGGGAAAATGTTTCTGTTCTCCCACATTTTTTTTCTTCTCTTTGTAACAAGACCCACTATTGTTATAAACCCTGACCTTCATATGTCTCTGAGTTGAAATAAAGATACTATCAAAAACTATCCACCAAAAATAAATCACTATATGAGTAGACCATTATATTGAATATATTAGAAAAACATACCGAAAGGCAAGTTTTCCCCCACGTCGGTATATATGTTACGCCATCATGATCTTGAATCCACTTGCGAGCTCTAGCACACGCATCATCTTGACCTCCATCAGGCCCTTCTCCAAGAATGCGAATACATATGTAGTTGATTGCTACCATAATTAATAATTAATTTTACTTATACCGTTTTTAAGCCTTAAAACTCAAGTTAAAGGTTGATATACATACCAAAGCTCAAAAACAGCAAAGGGAGATGCTCTTGGAGCTCACAATCAGACTCAAGCTACTGTTACAAGAGGATGCACGAAAATGAACACAAGATGACTCTTTTACTCAACAAGAAGACACCTTGAAGCATCAAAATGCCAACAAAAGGTCACACCCCTCAAGAACAGCAAACACAGCTCTTCAAACTCCCTCACACAGGTTCTCTAACTCAGAAACACCACCCCAATGTAGTCCCAAGGTCAACCCTCACCAAGTGTTTAAATGGAAGAACAAGCATCAAAGGTGAATGATTGCTCAAGAAATGGTTAAGAAGGCAAGGAAAGAGTGTTTTCTGGTCAGCCTCCAAGTTACTCACGTAGAGAAATCTGATCCTAGGGTTTTGTGCCCATAATGGGAGTATTTATAGCCCAAACACACTTAAACACACAGTATTAACTTTAATTTCTACGCTTAGTATTTTAATCCCAAACTTTGGATTCTCAAACTACATAATTTTCTAAGATTTATCATATTTTTTTTATATTTTTCTGAGCACCTTTCTGGTATGCGCTTTTCAAAGCCATTACCGGTTTCTAGCACCAGTTCTCATTATTTGGACTTGAAACTCGTTTTACAAGTCCTACATGTTATTCTAGTAATTATCATGCACTTACATTAATTTTCTGGGATACTTTTTTTGTACACATTTATACCGACTAGCAGAACCGGTATCTGCACTTTTCTTCCGAAAAGCGACTTTCAGCATTCTTAATCACTTATTATGATTATTAAGCCTCATAAATAATTGTTAGGGTCAATTATGGAATCATTTCTTATTTTTGCATAAATAATTAATTAAATACCTTAATTGAATGTGCGGGTTCTTACATCATCCACGACGTGTTTCACGTGTCTCAGCTTCGGAAGTACATAGCGGATCCTTCGCAGGTGGTGCAACCGGATGATGTGGAATTTCGGGAGAACTTGAAAACTCCTGTCGGACCACTCAAGATTCTCTATCGTGGCGAGAAGAAGCTGAGGAGCAAGATCATTCCGATGGTCGAAGTGCAATTGACAAGAAGAACTTCTGAGGAGCGTACTTGGGAGCGAGAGGACGAGCTTCTCTGGCAGTATCCCGACTTCCGAGACATGTATGCTTCTGATTTTGAGGATAAAATCCTTAAAAGGTGGGGTGAATGTAAGAACCCGCACCGTTAATTAAGGAATTTAATTAATTAATTATGAGATTAATGAGATAATTCCATAAGTGATCCTAATAATTATGAGAAGGCTTAAATAATTATTGTAAGTGATTAAGAATGTTGAAAGTCACTTTTCTGACGAAAAGTGCAGATACCGGTTCTGCCTCACGGTATAGATACGTACCGATGAAGTATCCCAGAAAATTATAATGAGTATGAGAATATTCCTAGATTAATATTTAGGACTAGTACGTCAAGTTTGGAGTCAAAATAATGAGAACTGATGTCAGAACTAATACCGACAGCGAGAAAAATGCGTACCGGAAAAGTATTGCAGAAAAATAAAATAAAAATATGAAAATTCCTAAAAAAATATCTAGGTTAAGAATCTAAAATTTTGGAGCTAAACGAAGAGCGAAACTAATTAAACTAATATTGCTAGTTTAACTTAAGTGACAATATACATAGAAAAGGAGATCAAAACCATTTCTTCTGTACAAAGCCATTTGGTTTGTCACTTTGTATCTCTTGTTTTGTGAACTTACACGGCCATTTGCATCGAGTGGTGTGATTTTAAATTGAAAAGTTTGAATCTTTATGTAGCAAATCGGTCACTGTGGTAGTCAGTGGATATAAAGCCTTATCTATGAATGAATTTTGGTCCAACATGTATATATATATAAATAGACATATTCCTGCATTTCTCTGGCCAGTAGATTAGTATTGACGCACATGACATGATTATCTGCTGCATTGCACTATTTTGGAACTTGTACTGTTTAACTATTTTTGGAACTTATATTGCACATGTAAGTGAACTTGGGGTGGAAGATCCTTGAGGATCCCTTGCCTTACTGAGATTTCTGATTAGAGATCTCACCCCACGTTTGGGGCGTTTATTTCAGGTTCAGGTAACCCAAGGGTTGAGACCTCTAGCGGCAGGAGGTCGGAGTTTAGCTGATATTTCTGCCTATGCTATTTATGTTTGGATGCTGGATGATATTTGTTGTTGTTATGCTATTAGTTTCGTGTTATGGATTTTTAGTCGAGACTCTGTTGATTATGTTGCTATTTGGTGAGCATGGGGATTGTCCATGCCACATTGACTTGACTTTATGTTTTTAGTTGATTCGAGTTGTATAATTGTATCAGGATTATGTCCGGACTACGTGTTGTAGATCCGTGACTTAGATGAGGTATTTTTCAGTTAGCTGTCTTTTGCAATTTACATACAGGTGATGTTTTTATGAAATTGATTAAGTAATTAACTTGGCTAAGTTAATGACGTTATAATTGAAAAGTAAAAAGTTATTCCGCATATTTTAATTAAGCGTGGCTTAATACGATGACATGTTAACAAACCGTGTTAACACGGCCGGGGTGTTACAATTGTCAAGCCCTATCAACTTGTAAGAGCTCACCAGGTTCCACATCTTCTCAAGTTTTTGCATGAGGAACTTAGTACTGATTTTCCTTCCTAAAAGTTTAATAATGATGGCCTTCCTCCATTGCTCACAATCAGCTTTATGTTGGGCCTCTTATTTTCTTTTTCTTTTTATATTTGCTATTTTTTCTCTTTTCTAATTTTACCCTCTTATTTACACTAAAGGATCACCTAAAAAATGATGGTCCCGATGCACAATATATGATCTCGATAAACACAATGGAAAAACTAAAAGTAATCTTACCCACGTAACCAACGTATGAACCAATATCAACCTCTATTTTTGCAATAATAAAATCCCTTACCTAAGAATAATTGTTGCATTGTCGAGAATGATATATTATGTGCACCTATGAGTTAAACATTAAATAGTAGTTGATTTCTTGACTATCTGATAACGAATGAGAAAGCATAAACGAAAGAAATAAGAAATTACAAATTGACAATGACATATCCCATACTTTGCAATTATCAGTCACACTACAATTCATAACTAATTAATCTATAGAATCAAACACTAAATCGAACCCCAAATAACTTGAATCTAGAGTGGAAAGGTTATGCTCTTACTTTGTTATCACCACCTCATCTTCTTCTTCTTGCTCGAAACATAGACAACACCAAAGCTTTTATGCTTGGAGTTTAAGGGCAAGAAAACCTTATGAGTGCTGATTTTCGATCATGCACATTTTGATTTTAAATTTGAGGAACCCTAACCGTTGACAGCAAAACCAATTTCAAAAATCGAGTTGTAGAGAAATCGATATACCAAATAGTGAGGGTGGACATAGTGAAACAGAGAGAAAATGGAGAAGAAATATTTAGAGAGAGAAGAGAGGATTGAATGGATGTGAGCAAAGAACAGATAGAAAATTGATAGATTAAGTTTTAAAGAGAGAGACAAGAAAGGTTTGACTAAATATGATTGTAAAAAGGAATGGACAAAGGAGAAAATGTTTTTGAGAGAAAGGGAAGACATGTGATAAGATATTAGGACAGCCCGGTGTTCCTCGAAAATGCCACAATGTACATAATTATTGGGGGTTTTATTACCTCCAGAAAATAACCTCGACAAATGACACATTTTTTTAGTGCCTATTAACCATAGTTCCCTTCCCATCATGGGCCTATGGGTTGAGCCAACACTAATCAATATTATTGGTATCTAAGCCCAAACCAACAGATCACTTAATTAAATGAGCTCATTTTATTAAAAGTAAAAAACTTCAATTGATTGAAGCTCACAATAATTTAAAAAATTCAAACATTCTCCCACTTTGGTAAAATCAATTGTAAAATTTGAATTAAGAAAAAAAGATATTTGAAAACGACGAGGTAAGGACTAATTTTTATAACGAGACCAAATTTTAAGAAAACACATTAT